AGAAGACATTGAAAAGCCAGGGACAAGGAAACACAGGTGCATAAGAGGGAACCAGGACCCTAACTAGCTGCTATGTTTCCTCACTGGGGTGGACCTCCCAGGCTTGCCGCAAATTGCATCCTCTACCACTGCTGCCCACTGGATCCCTGGGCCAGGTCCTCTGGGCTCCTGCCGCTCTCCTGCGACCTGGCTTCTTAGTTGTGCCAGAGCTGGCAGTCTGGAGGAAAACCACCTCCCGAGAAGGAAGACACAATTGTGGCTTGCACTGAGCAAAGGGAAAAGGGAGAGAACGAGAGGCACCAAAGGGAGAGAATAAAGAGAGGTAAGGAGGAAAAGACATTAAGAACCTCAAATCAGAGCCCAGGCCCCCAACGGTGCCTACCCCCCACCCCGCACCACCCCGTGGTGCCTGTGGTTATTTTGCCTGCAGGCCACTGGGGGCAGCAAAGAGCAGCACAGGCTAGGAAAAAGGCCAAGCCAAAGGTGTGGAAGGGGTACAACCCACACCGTACACCAAGGCCACAGATAGACAGGCCACGGCAGATCATGCCACCAGAGGCCTAGGTCCTGGGCTTTCCCACTGGAGCTATATGCTGTCTTGCCAGGAAAGGGCAGTGACTTTTTTTAGTACATGTTTGTGATACCTAAGACTATTTTCACTGTGGCTATTTGGTACCTGCTTGTAACATATCTTAATTCTTTTTTATGTCTCCTTCCTCTGCCACCCTTTCCCCCCCTTTCCATCTCTTGATCCCCCTCTCACTGAGTGTTTATTAATTCCTGCCAGGCGCACTGTTTCTAATATATATAAAATTAAGCAGCAGCATCCCATTATTATTTTAAGGAGGGGACACCTGTGCTTTGAAAGCCAGATTCACATAGATTTCAGCTTTTAAGCTGTACTTTCTTTGCAGGTTCTGCCCTATGTCCCTCCATGGGGCAGTCCCTGTGATAACTGATGGGGGAATCAGCATCATCCGTGACTCTTAGCACTGGCCGCTAGAAAAACAGCCTCTCTGTGCTGGTTTGAACCATGACCAGTCATTTGTGTATGCTTTTCTGCCCTGGTTTGAGTGGAGGAGGTCCAAAAGGGGTCACTGCTATTAGGAAAATCTGTTGCAAACTGGCACAGGGAGCGGGCCTGTTGAGCATAGGTCATTCCTTCCATCCTAATCTCACTGTGCTTCCTGCATGGCAGCAGCTCTGGCAGTGGGAGTGTGGCTCATTGTCTGACATGACCAAGGGCCCTAGAGAGGGAGGCCCTGAAAAAGCAAGGGCCTCTGTCCAAGGTCACTTGGGCTCTGAGTTGCCACTTGAATCTTGCTTTGGCTTCTTCAGGAAGCCTGGTGTGCTGTAAGTAGATTAGCAAGTTTCTTAGTGCAAAAGACCCGGATGGAAAAGGCTTTCTTCCTGTGGATGGTATGGCCATCTGGAGACAAGTCCTTCTTTCTGTGCTAGCAACCAGCCAGAGTCCTGTGGCCCTCTCCAGATGTCCTCCCATCCTGGCATGGCCTAGAGCAGTTCCTCTCTGCTCAGGGCTTGCAGCTGTCTTTGAGTCTTGGGATGGTCCGACCAAGACCAGGAGATCCGCCGGGCTATAGCCCTTCAATCAGATGTGTTATTCCTGATGGGGCCCAGTTGGAGACTGGAGTAGACAGTAATTCCAAAGACTCCAGATTCTATGAGAACTGGAGTGAGCCAGGCCAGCAAATGAAAGGAAAGGATATTCCCACCAGGTCCAGCATGGACAGCAGGGTCTGCCCACAGGGCCACACATCCTCTGGGGGCTCAGTGCTTCCCACAGGACCGCCCAGATCCACTTCATACTGGGCTGGCCCTGCTGTTCAAATCTTAAACTTAGGCCCTGCCTTTGTATCCTAGGTATATGGCAGCAGCTTGCATGTAGCAGGCACAGGTGATGGTTGACTGGGCAAATAGGTGGAAGAAGCAGTTGGGGCAGGAGGTGGGATCTTGGCTGCAGCTGGAAGGTACAAGGGCATAGTCTGTGCATCAGCTTTCCGGTCTTCTGTTTGAGGTCAGCAACATCAGCCACCAAGGGGGTGGAGGCAGCAAGACATCTTACAGTGCCCTGGGCTGTCCTTCTGCTTCCAGAAGAGCAGGTGTCTGCTTGTCCCTGCATGGCTGAGGAACGCAGCAGGCAGGGATCTCTTTTGCATGGTCCAGAGCCTAGCCCTCATCGGCCTCCATCCTTGCCGCCATCCAGTGGGTGCTGTGTGCTCAAAGTTGAGCCAGAAGTCAAGGTGGAGACCCGCCCTGTCTGCGAGGTGGACAAAGTGCTGACTTCCTCAAAGGGAGCTGGATGGGGTGTGAGGTCAGCTTCCCAGATAGTATGAGATGAGGCTGTGTAGGAGGTTCACCAGGGAGGCAGGGCTGGGAGGACTGGGAAAGGCAGTCACCGAGAAGGCCTTAGCCTGCCCTTGGGGAGTGCTGGGCTTGTGTTAGAATTAACTGTTGGACTTGAGGAGCCTGAAGATAAGTGGCTCAGCAGCAGATCACTTGCTTAGTGTGCACAAGGCCCTGGGTTCAATATCTAGAATAAAACAACACCCTTGTTCCCTTTGCCCTCCTCAGCCATTGCCTTGGGCAGCCTAGCTTCCTTTGGCACCACCCCAACATCTTGGGGAAGGAGCCAACCTGGAAAGACTGCAGAGCAAAGGAGGCCTGAGATTGTGATTTCCAGGGGAGGGTTGGGAGATGGAGGGACACATGGACTGCAGAGCGAAGGCCTGTTCAAAGGTCATTGTGGGGTATTCATTGGGTCATGGGTGAGGTCAGCAGGGAGTCAGTCTGGACAGACAGAGAGGCCAGGACCCTAGAACATCTTGCTAGGAGAACGGTGGAGTGGGATTTTCACAAGTGAGTGACGATTGCAAGAGCTGGGCTGCAGGGCGCCTGGTCTGCTGGCTTTGCTGGATAGAGTGCAGGTGGAGAGAGACCCAGGCAGGGAGATGGAGGAGGAAGCAAGAACCAAATGAGAGCAGAGGAAAGGGATGCGCCTGAGAGGCATCTTCAGAGAAATCAGTTAGACGAAGGTGGAGGGGCACTAGAGGCACTGGGGAAATCGGGTGGATCCTGTCGCTGGGTCTCTGGAGGCTGGGGACCCAGGAAGAAAGGCCTGGCGAAGTGAGCCCGGGCTGGCCTTAGGGATGCAGAGGTGACAAAGTGGCCTCCAGGCAGTCAGGCTGCCAACCCTGAGGCAGAGGAGCAGAGGTATCCCTAGAAAGGCACATCTGCTTCCTAGGGAGCCCCTCGCTTTGTTCAGTGCTGCCCCCCAACAATCTTTTCTGCTTTCTACACATTCCGCCCCTTCTCCATCTCCAGACTAGCTGTCTCACCCTGCTCCCACCAGCGGCATCCTAAGCACACTATACTTGTTAACTCATTTAGTGCTCTGTTACAACCCGGTGAAGGCCCACTGTTGCCCACAGTGGAGAACAACAGCATGAGAGCGGAGGCCGTGCTAGAGGCCGCCCAGCTTAGCCATGAGTGGCTGCCCATGCACGCCAGGGGCCAAGCAAGAGGCCGCCTTCAGGGTGCTCTGCGGTTCCCTTGCCAGCAGGGGCACGCCCCTCTGGGAAGGCCCTGGGTCCCCTGGTAGCCCTGCTGCAGGTCACCCCTCATCAAAGACCCCACAGCTCGCTGGGTTTCGGTCACTCCTCCTGGCTGCTTCCCCCACCCACCCTCGAGTCTGCTATCTCTCCCTTCAGGCCGGAAGCTGATGTCCTGAAACCCATCCAAGCTGGGAGACAGGACTACTAGGGCCTATGAGACCAGTTAGCCTAACTTGTTGTTTTAGATGAAAAATCAGAGACCAGAATGGTGGTGTGGCTGGGCCAAAGCTACATCGCAGGAATAAAGCTGAGAAGGAGAAAATAAGCATTTCTCTTGAATCCCACATGAGAGAGGACTTCAGAGGACTTCATTTCTGTTGTTGGTATTAAACAACAGCATTTTTAGTAATAGGATCTTTAAGTACATGGTGTCCACGTACGTGTAGGTCTGACTTAGCAACGACTTTATGCTGGAAGTTGTGGGTGCTTAGCATCCGTGCACCTCCCTTGGCTGTGCACCAGTACTGAACTCATTGGATAGGGGAGGAAACTGAGGCACTGAAATGCTAAGGAGGTGGCCCAGGGTATACTGAGGGTAAGAGGAGAGCTGGGATCCGGACTCAGGCAGTTGCTGCGAGCAGTAGACCCACGGCTGAGCTTCCCAGCCCCTGCAGTGACAGTGGAAAGCTTTTCACAGAAGTTGACATACGCCAAGAAAGCGCGGTAGGACTTTGTCTTGTTGTAAAGATGAACTTGTAGCTAGTGAGCAAGCGGGCTGTGGACACCCAAATGCGGGTAGTAGCAACCTCTGATCGGGAATTGAAGTGCCACTCATTTTTCTCTTTGTGTTTTCTTGTATTATCAGAGTGTATAGAGTAAAAAGGACTATTTTTGTCACTGTCATTGTATAAGAAATCTGCGCGCAGCAGTGGAATGGGCACGGTGGCCCCAGGGGACAATAATGCAGCTGCAGTGTTAATTTAATTGTTTCTGGTCAGCTGCTCACTGGGGAGCAGAAGAGGGCGAGGTGGCTGTAATTTAAACAAGACACAGAACAGTCGAATGGGGAAGGTCCACGGAAGGTACCCTGATGGCACAGGCCCCTTTCTTCTGGTGGATCCTAGACCAGGCGGAGCTGCCCAATCTGGAGCCCAGAGGACAGAAACCGAAGGGGGCGTGGGAGTTAGGGTCCTGGTGACATTTCAGAGACTGACCCCGTGCCTACCTCCTCTGGTCCTGCCCCAGGGGAGAAGGGCCCCCAGCAAAGACCAGCCACGTGGGGTGGGGAGAGAGCGGCTTCTGCAGGGGCAGGGTGGGGAGGAAGGCAGCACCAACCTGTCTTTTGCTGCCCTGACCATCTCAATCTGCTCCGACCCTCAGATTCCTCCCGAAGAAATTCTCATCATGATTTTATTTGTTCTTTGACAGAGACCACCTGGGAACGCCCCAGCAGTTCTCCTGGGATTTCAGCCAGCCCTGGCCCTCACAGGAGCTCTCTGCCTCCAACAGGTACTGTGCGCACACTCACTGGGCAGGGCAGCTTGGGGGGGTCAAACCTGCCTTCATCCAAAAGGCCCAGACTCCGGTTCCAGGACCTGAAGCCAGGTGTGGACTCATTCAGACCGGCGCTGGGGGGAAATGCCAGGCTGAGGAGGCCCTGGAAGCCTTGGTCGGGGTGGTGACACCCTGACAGACCAGCAGCCGTGCTGGTGATGTCACACCTTGCCCGCTCGGGTTCTCAGGGTATGGAGGTGGAAGGGTGAGGTGACACATCAGAGCTTTTCCCTGAGGTGGGACAGAGCCACTCCTTGGGACTCCAGCAGGCATCAAGGAGTCAAAGATAAAAGGGACAAGATTTTTACGGGGCAATTTTCAAGCAGAACCTTCTGGAAAGGAAGTGGTAGGATGTGCGTTCCCTGTCTACAGAGGTAATCAAGTGGAAATGGCCTCAGTAGACATTTCTGTACTAGGTTGGAGGTTTGTCCAGAGGTTACTTAAAAGACATCTAGTTCTGAGATTTCAGGAGGCAGCATGAAGGACCTACCAGCAGGGAGAACAGCTGCTGATTTTGCCTTTTTAGATTGTTGCCTCCTCCAGGAAGCCCTCCCTGACTACTGGTTTAGGGCTCTTTTCCACTCACTCTTGATCACAGCTGCATGCTGCCTTAAGGAGCTCAGAGTTTTTCTCTGTCAGTTGTTATCCTCCCTGGCCACACACTCTCTGACAGTGGGGTGTGGTCCTTTTGTTTTTCTCTCTTTTTTCGTCGGATTGAACCCAGGGAGTGCGGAGCTCCATGTGAATCTCTTTTCATCGTTTTTATTTTGAGATAGTATCTCACTCAGATGCCAGGCTGGCCTTGAACTTGCAACTCCTTTGCCTCCACCTCCCAAGTAGCTCGGATCATAGCCCTGTGTCATGTGGTGGGCCAACCACATTCTCTGGCTTTTGCCTTTAGGATTTAATGGGGAGCTGGAGTGGTGGTGTACGCCTCTAATCCAAGCACTCTGGGAAACTGAGGCAGGAGGATTATGAATTCAATCCTAGTCTGGGAAGGAGAATCTCAAGTTCAGGGCCAGCCTGGACAGCTTACTAACTCCATGAGACCCTATCTCACAAACAGATCAGAGGTCCAAGCCCTTTCCCCAGAGCAGCCCAGCTAACCCAAAGAAGTGCAGCCTAGAAGGAGGGTTGCTCCCAGCAGCCAGGGCTTCCCTTGCCCGACAGGTGGCCTGGGTCTGTTCACTTGGTAATCAAAGTGTCTGCTCATGGACACCGTCCAGGGGTGCACGTGTTGCCAGCAGAACTCAAGCTGGAAATCTGTCACACTGGTGACTCCAGCAAGGTGTAAAAAGTAGAGACTGAGCATTTACTCTTGGAATTGTGTATAAAATAACTTTATATAAAGTAACGTTTTAAAAAGGAGCACCCCGGGTCCATGTGAGGGGTGTGGCACTTGCTGTTGAGGTCCTGAGGAACAAGCTGGGTGCTGCCTTCTCAGGCTGAGTTGCCGCTGCGGAGTGACAGGAGGCAGTCCAAGCCACCCCTTCTCTCTCTTTGCTGTCCCTGTGGATTTTTTAAACAATAGAAATGATGGTGTGAGTTATTTGAGGTGTGGCTTTATTTCCTGGTGACTTGACTCTAAGACAGCAGGATACTAACAAAAAATCCCAGTTGTCTTTTCCTGCCGATGTGGTTTGTGCAAGAGGCCATGGCAGCACTGTGGACAGAGGGAGGCTTGGGCTGAGGACAGGACAGGTGTGAGCATGACCGCCTGCCGTGACTGCCGTAGCCTGCCACGCTGGTTGGTGGATGGAGCTGGTTGGTGTTAGTCTTTGAGTCACAGGGTCACCTCTCCAAAGCCTGCTCTGCGGGCTCATCCACAGGCAGCATTCAGTCCCCTCTCTGCTGTTTCCAAAAGGGGGACTTGGAGGAGCTGGCTTAGACCCCTGCAGAAGCACACACTTGATCAGCTCCCTCTTGTACCCCACAAGCAAGTCAAGAGCCCCCATGCCCAGGACTGAATCAGGTCCCGGGCCTTTGCAAGAGGCAAAGAAAGATGAGGAGATGGGTGACAGGGTCAGATCTGGAGCTGGCAGCCCCAAGGTGACCCAAGCTGGGCTGAGTGTGTGACAGAGAGTGGGCCACTTAGGGGCCTAGGGTGGTATTTCCCAAGGCAAAGTCCACGGAACATGAAGCCCTGTCAAACAATCCAGGAAGGGGGCTACCTAGTCACACACACAGCTTTGCTTGCTCCTGCAGGCTCCAGGAAGGCCTGCAGTGAATTAGAGCATTTAACTCACAGCCTTGGCCATGGGTCGCCTTGTTTGTTTATAACATACCACATAGTTGCTAAGTGTCCCATCTGGCTTTCTAGGGGACATTAGGCAAGGTCTGGAGACATTTTTGACTGTCACTGTTAAATGGAGGCATCTTCTGTCCCAAAGGGCACAGGACAGTCCCCAGCAAAGTCTCTCCATGGACACAATACCATGGAAATTAGGAAGCTCCAGCCTCAAATGACTCAGGACTTGGGGCCAAAGATAGCTCAGGGGCATAAGTGCCTGCCTGGCAAGCACAAGAACCTGAGTTTGATCCCTGGCACCACAAAAAAAGAAAAAAGGTGTGTGGTTCAGGACATCAGTGCACTGCAGCTTGAGCATCTTTGTGTCATGCCCCAATAAAGCAGGGAGTGGCAGCGTGTGCTATAAATACCCTGTCACTGAATCTGAGACCAGCTTCTAGTCCCTCCCAAGCACACATTTTAGTTCCTTTGGACATCAGATGCATCGTAGGATCAATCGTGTATGCTAATTGAATTGAGAGCATTTTTTTTCTATCTCAGGGGTCTATAAACTGCAGGTGTTAATAATCAGGAGCACTTTAGTGAGGTTATAACTTGTTAAGCCGGGGCAGGCTTGTTGGTTCTCTCTGTTAGGCGTCAGTTTCCCCATTGGTAGCTCAAGGGCCTGCAGGAGCACAGAGCAGCCTCCCAGCTTCCTGACACTTGATGCCTCCTCCCTGGGCATGCAGATGTCTCCACATCATCCACCTTCTAGGACAGAAGGGAAGAGAGCCCACTATTCATACACTAGCAGGACCCAGATGGATCTGAATCTACCTGTGGAACAGAGAAGTGGCCACATTGATATTGGTCTCCATAGAAAAGTACCATTTATTTTTCCTTTATTTTTTCACTCAGCTCTCAAGAGATTGAGTTTTATTATGGGAAGAGGCATAGAGAGATAGGCTTGCTTCAAAGCTCGACTCCCCGCACTTGTCTACATGGGGTTGTGGTCTCTTCCAGAGATTCCTTGGGACTCCTGATCTCAACTTCTTTGACTTTGTTCATTTCTGCAAAAGCCACAGTGCTGGAGTGCCAGCCCTTCTCTAAAGGGTGCCAACTGCTATTCTTGTTGGTGGGGCTATAGCCCTAGACAAAGCAAAAACACTGGTGCCTGATCCCCAGGAACCTGCAAAAGTAGGGGAGCTGGACAAACAAGCACTCAGAAAATGGGTCAGATGTTGCTTATTTGTTCTAATGCAAAGAATAGAAGTGTGGCAGTGTGATAGGGAATGACTGGGAGTCAGGGAAGGCCTCAGTGGGGACTGGCATTTATGTCAGAATGTAAGGAAAGTGAGTGTAAGGTGTGGGTGGAAAGGGGTTTTAGGCCCTGGGACAGCTAGTGCAAAGGCCCTGAGGCAGGACTAACTTTGGCAGATTTAAGAACATAAAATTAATCAGTATGTCTGGAGGGTAGGGGAAAAACTGGAGAGTGGTGAGAGATGAGAGAGCTAAGCCAGAGGAAGGCGCTGGGATCTCATAGTGTGATGGTAGGGAGGGGTAAGTGAATAGATGGCAGGTGGGGGTGTGTTGTCTCTGTAAGAGGCATCCAGGCTGCCCCTGGCCCTAGGGAGACTGTTCTTGATTGGCAGGGATAGAGGCAGTGCCTGCAAATGGGGGTGGTGAGGGGAATGTGGAAAACCCAGCCTGGTTTCCTGAGCACAACATTGCTCTGGGATGCTGAAGAAGGGGACCAAGGAGCAAGGAGTTGGGAGATGTCAGGGTGGGGAGGGGCACAGATCAATCCAGCCCAAATGCTCAGGGCCCAGGGGGCAGGGAAGCCACAGGCCTCAGACTGACGTCAGTGCTGGAGCTCTGTGGACTCTGAGAGCCATCTGAAGGGCCCCTGTGGGCACAGCTATGTCTTTCTTCGTGATGCTGTTTAGATGCCTGGTTCCACCAGGTTATGAGCTGGGGAGACAGAGATCTGCAGACACCCCAAATGCCTTAGAATTATGCTCCACACTTTGGATGTTGGGTGAGTCTTCAGTGAGCAGCGGGCAGGGCCTGTGTCAGTCTGGCCTCTCTGGTGTCCCAGGGTTGCGGAGCTGTGCTAATTCAATTGGTCACTTTCCTCAGGCTGCCTACTATCCGGCTTTCTGAATAAGGAATAATTTAAACCAAAATAAGTCCTGAGATGCTTTCAAAAAGTGCTGCAAGTATTAGAAGTCTGCTCTGGGCTGGTTAAATACAATATGGAAGAAGTGATTTGTGGAGAAGGGGAATAGTAGCAACAGCAAAGGGAGAGAAAATGAGTGACAAAAGAGGATCTGGGCATTTCCTGTCTGAGTCACTGGGTGGGGTGAATGACAGAGCAGTAGTGTCCCCGAGAACTTTCTGTGGCCATGGAAACCATTCGTGCCTGCTGTGCTGTGTGGGAGGCACTGGCCACATGTGGCTATTCACGTGACTACTGGGTACTTGAAATATGGCCAGTTTAACTGTATTTTATTTTAATTTTAATTTTTATTTCATTTAAGAACTTTAAATTATTTTGGAATTACTTATTTATTTAGGTACTGGAGATTGAACTTATGACCTTCCACTTTGCCAGGCAGGCACTTGTGCCACTGAGCTATATCCTGGCCCTAGAATAATTTTAGGCTACACAAAAGTTTAAAAAAAAATCCTAAAAAACAATGGACTGGGTCCTTGGATATTCTTTTTT